AAATTATTGGAATTTTTGGTACGAATGAGCCTGTACAAAATTGTAGATATTTCCATGAATTGTTTAAATTATTGGAATTTTTGGTACGAATGAGCCTGTACAAAATTGTGGATATTTCCTTGAATTGTTTAAATTATTGGAATTTTTGGTACGAATGAGCCTGTGCAAAATTGTTGAAATTTCCTTGAATTGTTTAAGTTATTGCAATTTTTGGTACGAATGAGTCTGTACAAAATTGTGGATATTTCCTTGAATTGTTTAAAGTTATTGACTAAATTTGATCTAGTCAAGCAAGCACATGTAGGTCGTGTCATGAGGAGTGAAATATACAATAACTGTCTCGGTAAGACCATCCAAAACGAATTAACTGATTAAGATGAGAGGTACGATATTAGAGAAAGTCAGGGAAGTGAAATATTACACACGTATTTCGGACTAATGACGTGAGTGGGTTTATTTAAAATTAGTTTGGCAGAAATAGAGAAACTTGGCACGGACATCCAAGATTGTCGTGGACAAGGCTATGACAATGGTGCAAATATGCGTGGTGAGAAGAAGGGTGTAAAAGCAAGAATATTTCAAATCAATTCACGAACTTTATTCTGTCCCTCTGGTTGTCATAGTTGAAATTCAACCTTTGGAGATGATGTTTCACCTTTTATAGGCTTTATACTTTATTCTCGGTCTCTTCAAGTAAATGACATGTATTAAAAGAAAAGGTAAATATTGCCCTAAAACCACTTTCAGAAACTAGATGGGAGTGAATAGTGTAAAATAGTGTGAAAGTTGTTCGATTTGGTTTGTTTTGAATTTCGGAAAAGCTACACCAGGGCTATCTGCGCTAGCCGTCCCTAATTTAACAGTGAAAGACTAGAGGGAAGGCAGCTAGTCATCACCACCCACCGCCAACTCTTGGGCTACTCTTTTTGCCAACGAATGGTGGGATTGACCGTCACATTATAACGTCCCCACGGCTGAAAGGGCGAGCATGTTTGGTGGGACGGGGATTCGAACCCGCGATCCTCAGATTGCGAGTCGAGCGCCCTAACCACCTGGCCATGAAAGTTGTTCGATTTCAACACAAAGAGATCTGTAATATTTTACCGGATCTATCGGCAAGTTGTAAGGACGATCCCAAGTTAAGTAGTAAACAAGATTCTCTCATTAATGAGGTCGTGTCATATTATTTTTTAGGATCTCTTATGACATGGTATGATATTTTAATAGATATAAATAGTATCAGGAATTTATACCTCTGTAAAACACCTGGTTGCTTGTTTGTTTGTTT